TAAGAGGGCCCCGTGCCCAAGCCCCGGTACAGTGTACCGGAGTGTCCCGGTTTCCCCAGGGGGCTGTTTAAAGGGCCTGGGGCTCCCAGCTGCCTCTGCTGCACCCCTTGCCTTGCCTGCAGCCAGCCCCTGTCTCCAGCCAGCCCTGCACCCTCTGCCCGCTGCCAGCCCCTGCTGCACCCCTCATCCTGCCTGCACTAGCCCTGCAACCCCTGTCCTGCCCGCACCAGCCCCGCCCCCTCCTGCCCTGCCTGCAGCCAGCCCTGCACCCCCTGCCCACAGCCAACCCTTGCCGCACCCTCTGCCCTGTCTCCAGCCAACCCCTGCCGCACACCCCTGCGGCTCTGCCCGAGGCTGGCCAGCCCCCCACACACCCCTGCCCGTGCCAGCTCTGCACCCCCTGCCCAGTCTCCAGCCATCCCCTGCCGCACCCCCCCGCCTGGCCTGAAGCTAGCCAGTCCCGCACTCCTCTGTCTCCAGCCCTGCCAACCCCTGCCACACGCTCCTGCGGCCTTGCCTGAAGCCAGCCAGCCCGCCCCACACACCCCTGTCTCCAGCCAGCCCCGCACCCCTTGCCCTGCCTGCAGCCAGCCCCTACCTCCAGTCAGCCCCTGCCCTGCCTCCAGCCAGCCCCATGTCCACTGGTGCCCTGCAGTTCCCAGGGCAGTAACCCTGCACACCTGCTTCAATGAGGGAGTCTGGGAGCAGCTAGGACCCACACATGTGCACACCCTCCCCCCCACAGGGAGTGGCGGGGACCCACACATGTGAAACAGAGCTCATTAATAACCGATCAACAGCATATATGACACAATGTACATAATATATAATTTTATTTATATAGTTATGGAAAGTAAATAATACATGAACAAGGAGTCTGGTGGCACCTTAAAGACTAACAGATTTATTTGGGCATAAGGTGAGTTAAAACCTCAAATAATACATGGAAGAAATGAAAATTTTTTTTTTTTTTTGTTTAGTCATCTCTGCCGGGACCCCGCCAAAAATGTTCAAATTGGGCCCTGCACTTCCTAAAGCTGGCCCTGGCTGGCTGGCCTGTAAATCGTGGGGTGGGGGCTAGTATGAAGAGGAGGGTGATCAGTTGTCCATGGCCACTGGTGGCAGGACAAGAAGTAACGGGGGCTTAATCTGCAGTGGGGGGGAGGGAGGGGGTTAGGTTAGATCTAAGATAAAACTTTTTTTAACGTTAAGGGAAGTTGAACTGTGCAACAGGCGTCCAAGGGCGGTCCTGGCGTCCCTGCCATTGGAGGTTTTTAAGACCAGGTTGCACAAGCACCTGTCAGGGGTGGCCTAGGCTAACTCAGTCCTGCCTCAGCGTTAAGGGGCTGGACTTGAGGACGTCTCAAGGTCCCCTAAAGCCCTGCATTTCCATGATACAAAAGGGATGATGAGAGGCTGGGTAGGGCTCATGTGAACTCTGTCACAGAACCGTGTTTGTCCATGAGATCAGCATGGTAGAGGTTTATGTCTGTGACATCAATTGTTTTCCACTATGGCCATCTTCATCTTCAGTTAATATTCTTCTGAGATTAGAATTTATACAGAATAGGATTAATCCTCAGATCAAGCCTGTGATTGACTACCTGGAGCTATTATGATGTGTTTATCATGAGTCCAAGTTACTTCAACAACTGTATAACTCTGTTTCCTTCAGCTCTCTGTACAGCACCCTGACCAGCAAAATTATCCAGGAAGAAATAGGAGTCAATTTCCTTCTTCCTTAAAGCCATTGTTAATACATGATCCAGTAAGACAATGGTTCTCAATCAGGCATACATGTCTCCCTGGGGTACACAGAGATTTTCCAGGGGGTACATCAACTCATCTAGATATTTGCCTAGTTTTACAACAGGCTACATAAAAAGCACTAGCAAAGTCAGTACAAACTAAAATTTCATTCAATGACTTATTTATACTGCTCTATATACTATACACTGAAATATAAGTACAATATGTACATTCCATGGTAAAATGAGAAAGTAAGCAATTTTTTCAATAATATTGTGCTGTGACACGTTTGTATTTTTATGTCTGATTTTGTAAGAAAGTACTTTTCAAGTGAGGTGAAACTTGTAGGTACACAAGACAAATCTGACTCCTGAAAGGGGGATAGTAGTTTGGAAAGATTGAGAGCCACTTCTGTAAGAGACCCTGGGAGTATATGTCAGATCAAATAATAATCAGAATTTGGGGTGGGGGAATACAACCTACCATCTATATGTAACTGGGAATATTGAAAGTACGCCTCCTTTAGGCACTTGTTTAGATGTTTCAGATGGAGCCCTGTTTGTTCCTGGTCCTCAAAATAGAATGAGGACCAACTGTTGATATGGAATTGGTTGTAGTGCTCTGAAGTACTACCAAATTCCTGGCCATGAAAAATGTGTCACAGACCGTGAAATCTGGTCTTTTATGTGATTTTACCCTCTACTATACAGATTTCATGGGGGAGACCAGCATTTCTCAAATTAGGGGTCCTGACCCAAAAGGGAGTTGCAAGATTATTTTAGGGGGGGTCACAGTATTGCCACCCTTACTTCTGTATTGCCTTCAGAGCTGGGTGGTCAGAGAGCGGCGGCTGTTGGCCAGGCACCCAGCTCTAAAGGCAGCACCCCACCAACAGCAGCGCAGAAGTAAGGATGGCATGCTACCTTATTGCTACCCTTACTTCAGTGCTGCTGCCTTCAGAACTGGGCAGCCAGAGAGTGGTGGCTGCTGACTGAGGGCCCAGCTCTGCAGGTAGCAACCTAGAAGTAAGGATGACAATACCATACCATGCTACCCTTACTTCTGGCAGCGGTTCTGCCTTTAGAACTGGGCTCCCAGCCAGCAGCCGCTGCTCTCCAGGTGCCCAGCTCTGAAGGCAGCGCCACCAGCAGCAGCAGCACAGAAGTACCGCAACCCCCCTACAACTTTGTGACCCCCCCCCATAAATCCTTTTTGGGTCAGGACCTCTACTACGCTGTGAAATTTCAGATTTAAATAGGTGAAATCATGAAATTTATTATTTTTAAAATCCTATGACCATGCAATTGACCAAAATGGCCCATGAAATTGGTAGGAATCTATAGATGATGGATGGTTTCATTCATGTCCACACATTTCTATGGCCTGCTTGAGATAAGGAAGAAACAAAATTGTGGCTTTGATTCTTGCACCACTACAGAGTATGTCCACTGTCCTCATTTTGACCAAAGCCATAAGAAGCCATTTGCTTCCAAACTGAAAAAGTGTGGCACAAATTTGGGGGGGGGGCAGGTCTAACTTGAGACAGGGCTTATTGGGAGTCATGCAGATTGGTCTGAGACAACTCAGGACAACTGCTGACTTTGCCTCAGCACCTTGGATTTGTTCAAGCTATGACTTGCAAAGTGATATTCTCTTTCATACTGCAGAGGCTGTTTCAACTTGCCAAATGACCTGCATTCCTTTCTGTAGCATCTGGCAGGAGCCAGGATTGTACATCTGGTTTTGAGATGATTCTGAATAGCTCCACTTTCCATAGTTTCCCACTGTAGCGCTAAGACAGTTTAGGAACTGATTTGCCTGAGTTGTCTGATCTCAGTAACTAGACCCTGTATATCTGCATTAAAGAGATAGGACCCCATATATTTTTCAGGGAGAAGCTGTTTGGCTATGGGATTTTTTAAATTGTAGACGACCTTGTGATACTGTCCACCCATGTTAGCAATTCTTGTGACTGCACATTGTGTGTCAAATAACATTTAATACTTCTATTTGTTTTTATTGATTGTCATTATTGCAGGGCTCATGCTGACAGATTTCATACTCAGGGGAGGGAGATGAGGTGACACCTGCTTCAATGTGGCTGCCTGTAAAAGGCCTGTTTAATGAAGAGGCCACTCTTTCAGGTAAAAAAGAAAATTCTGTTTGAAACACTGAGTCCCTCACAACCAGGGAAGATAGCCATGTTTATCTTTAGTCGTGACACCGCTGGGGCAGCAGATAAAACCAGAAGGAACTTCAAGGAGAGCCAGTGACAGACAGGTCAGGTTCTGCCGCCAAGCTGCCCCCCATGCTAAAATACCTGTTGTAATTGATCTGTGGATCTTAGCATGATAAAGAGGAGTGACTAGGACTAAATGGCAGGTCAGGGTATGCTACCAATTATGTACATATATTATAACATTTACACAGTACCGCTGCCACACAATGATGTCCTCAGTGATGCCCAGGTCTTTTTCCTGAATTGTTACAGTTAACTTAGAACACAATAAGTGTATGGATTGAACTTACTTTTCAATGTTTATTACCTTGCATTTGTCATCAGTGAATTTCATATGGGATCATGCATCCGACGAAGTGGGTATTCACCCACGAAAGCTTATGCTCCAATACGTCTGTTCGTCTATAAGGTGCCACAGGACTCTTAGTCGCTTTTTACAGATTCAGACTAACATGGTTACCCCCTGATATGGGATCATGTTAGCCACTCACTAGCTAGAGTTGGGCCCTCTGAAATTCCTTGGTCTTTTCTAGTTTTGATTATAATGAGTAAGATAGATAAATTTATTCTGCATAGTTGTTAAATATCAAATGTGACCTTTGTGCTAATGTGAAAATGTGTGGTGGCGGATTGTCTGTGTTGGATGGGGATGGGCGACGTTCGGGGTAAATTTCAAAACTAGCCTATTTAAATTATTTTATTCTAGGAAAAGTTAGCAACTATTTTATGCGAAACATTTCCTAGACAATTCAACTATCCACTGAGCGGTATTTGAAATTTAAAAGCTAAATTTAATTTATTAAAGTGGGAAATAGACAGACTGTAGTTCTGCTTTAAGGGAAAAGTACAGTAAGGGAAATACAGCCTTAACTATGGAGCCACTTCTGACAGTTCAATAATACAACAGAAACTGGGCTGTATTCCGTGTAGCACTAATAAGGCTAATTAGAGAACATATACGGGGTCTCTCACCTTCACCACCAAACATCCCTTTAAGAAAAAGTCAGACAAGTTATATTCTATAGCCTTTATTAATCACACTGGGAAGCTTAGCATTTAAACCAACTAAGGGATATTTTTTCTTCAAGATATGAAATGAGACTTTAGTTGGTAAAATATAATCCTATACAATCTGTTTAGGTTGCTATAATAAAGGAAAAAAAAGATTTATTAATTTTGTTAAACAAGTTTGCCATACTACTGCACTTTTATAAAGGAAGGGAAAAAAACCCCTAGATTCTTTATGAATACAAATGAATAGCATAAGACTTAAAAGTATGTTATAGGGAATTCTGATCAGTTTGGACCCAGTCCTTCAAGGCTGACATGGAAGCTGAAGGTGCTCAGCACCTTCCAGGATAGACCATTTATATATCCACTCACTGGTGTAAAAGTAACATTCAGAGATGAAAGAGAATTATTTCATGTACTATTAAAAAATTAATTCAGCCTAGAAGCAACATGATGTATTTTTTAAAATTCAGGTGTTCTCAATATTTGAAAAACAAACAAACAAACAAACAAACTTCATACGTCCTATAGAGTTGAAGTAGTTAAAGCATATTATCTCTTATAATACCTGGTATACATTTTCTGCATAAAAATATAAAATAAAAATAAAACTGTATATATATTTAATGCATCAATTTTTTTGAATACTATTGTGAAAGATACAGAAGAATAAGGCACAAAAAGTAAGTAAAATACAAAAACACTCATGAATGTTATTGGATTATTTTAAACGGAACATAGCAAAATTCAGGTAGCTCTGAATATGCATATTTCTTGCAACAGGAATATGTTTTCTATATTTCTATTACAACTTTTAAGTCTGATATACAAAGATTAATTATGTAAGAATTATCTATTAAAGGCACTACACTTTTGCAGTGGTTGTACTTAGAAGTTTGACTTTCTTCAGAGACATTTAAAATAAGGCTTCATAATGACTACTTGGATCTGAATCTAAAAATGAATAGTTCCATAAAAAGTGATGCTACAGTCATTTAAAGACTTACAAACATGCTTAATTCTGTGCACGAGTATTACCATTAACTTCAACGGCACTATTTGTGTACAGAAAGCTAGGCTTGTCTGTTAAGTCCTTGCAGGATATGCACAAGCAGATCTTATGTCTGCACAGAATCCCACTGATATCAGTGGGCACAAGGCAGATCCAACTGCAGTACCAGAGCCATAAGAGTTTAACATGAATTTGTATCTATTAAATCTAACAATTTACTATGCAAGTACAATCTACATATCAACAAATATGTATACATGTAAATATCAAATACAGAATTGAAGATATATTTTGTTTTTGCTAGTAATGAGGTTTATATAAAATGTAGAGGGTTTTTAGATGCATGTTTTGCGGGAGATAAGAGGAAAGTACTTTAGTATGAAGCTAGTCATGCATCAAGGAAACTCATTTTCTTTGCTTATGTATTGCTGATTGCAGCCTCAAAGAAAAATAAAATAAAAGTCAAGTAATATCTGTAATATTTTCTCTTTTTGCACAGGAAGATGAGATTAGAAGGAGGCTTTACTTCCTCCCTAAAGTTTCAGCTAGTTTCTTCAATCTTTTCTTCAGCTCCAAAGGAAACTTCTCATAGCATTTCTTGCAGACAGGCTTCATATCAAATTCAACAAATTTGTTCCTACAAATGATATAAAAGGAAAAATATCTTTAGTGAAAGAGATTTCAAAGAGTATTTGAAGCATACCATATTGACATAGTACAGGCAGCAAAATAATGCTTTTTCAGTATTTTGCTCAATATATACATGGAGCTAAGATTATAAATGATATAGCAAGACAGCAAATGTAGATGTATACTTGAATCTATTTTTTTAGGATACATACAATTATATTTGTTATTAGCAGTACCCAGCTTTGTCACTGGGTGCCAACATTCAGGAAGGAAAACCCAAATTCAGGGGAGACTTTTTATTTTTTTAACCGTGGCAGGTTAAGTACAGGTGAATTTGCTAAAGGTGACAGATTTGAGTTTTGAAAGATTGAGATGGCCAGTCATTGCATATATAGTCAATATTTATGCGAAAGAGACATGAAAGTAAATAGCGGAAGTGAAAGAAACAACTGTACAGGAAAACAGAAGCAAAAATAGAGAACTTTTGGATACTGAGGAAAATTGTTTTATGCAATACTGTATGTTGTGCAACCACTGAATTGTAAACCTAACAGTAAAGATACTCACTATATTTTCAGAAGTCTGTAGACACCTGCGTTATGGACCTACAGATATCTGATGTGGGTGTAGGCAAGGACTTTTATTTAGAAGATGCTATGAATTTCCATACTGGATCAGAGCAGTGGCCATATATAATTATCCTGTCTCTGACAGTTGCAAGTACTAGCTGCTTCAGAGGAAAATGGAAAAAACCCTTACAGACGGCAGTTATGAGCCAGTTTGCCCATGAGACAGGAAGTGCCACTGTATCTACAAAACACAAATTGCTATCAAATGCACAATAAACAAACAAAAACCAGAAAAATAAAATGCCATTTAATTTCTTTCAATTGTAGTAATCTCGAGTTACTTAAAACAATACATACTAAATTTTCAGATGGAAATATAATTTTCAAGTTGACGGTGTCTGATATTTTAACAAGTCTTTTCAATAACTAAACAATAAAAAACTCTTCTGTTTATCAATCCATATTGGACATGATTTTCTGATCTCCAATGGGATTCCCTGAGCTGTTAATTTAAATGTCACTTTGCAGCAATATGATGGATTATAACAGGAGACTCAGTCCAATGTGAATTATAAAATTTATTTAAAAAAAATCAAAAACCTTCTCACTATAAAGAACTTTTGGAGAACTCCAAAAAACAAAATATAAACTCTTTATAAACTGTAAGAAACAAGTCAATTACTATTCAAAGGGCATCTTGACAGAGTTTGCAAAAAACGGTTACCCACCTTTTTGTAACAGTTGTTCTTCGAGATGTGTTGCTCATGTCCATTCCATTATAGGTGTGTACACGCACACGTGTGCAGCCATCGGAAACTTTTGCTTTAGTGGTACCCGTAGGGCTGGCTGTGACACCCTCTGGAGTGCCGCACTCATGGCATGGTGTATCAGGCGCCGTTGGTTCCTTCTTGCCGACAACTCCAACAGAGGGGCAGGAGGGCGGGTAATGGAATGGACATGAGCAACACATCTTGAAGAACAACCGTTACAAAAAGGTGGGGGTAACCATTTTTTCTTTGTTGAGTGCTTGCTCATGTCGATTCCATTGTAGGTGACTTATAGGCAGAATCCCAGGAGGTGGGCTTGAAGTTCACAATCTTGCAGATTGTAGTACTGCTCTGCCAAAACGAGCATCAGCCTGAGCCTGCTGGATCAGCGCATAGTGCGAGGCAAATGTGTGGACGGACGACCAGGTTGCGGCATGGCAAATTTCCTGGTTCGGCACCTGAGTGAGGAAGGCCGCCGCCCGAGTGGAGTGGACCATCACAATCGGTGGCGGAGGCACATTCACCAGCTCATAGCAGTAGCAGATACAAGCTGTGATCCAGGACAAGATCCTTTGGGTGGACACTGGAAAACCCTTCATTTGGTCTGCGACAGCAACAAACAGCTGCGGAGACTTACGGAATCGCTTCATTCTATGTTGAAGGCCAGAGCTCCCCTAATGTCCAAGGTGTGCAGCCTGCGTTCCTCATCCCTCGCATGAGGCTTAGGGCAAAGGACTGGAAGATATATGTCCTGACTCGCGTGGAACTGAGACACGACCTTGGGCAGAAAGGCCAGGTGCAGACGCAGCTGGACTTGTCCTTATAGAAGATCGTATATGTAGAAGCTTGGACGTGAGCGCCCTGATCTCAGACACCCTACGGGATGAAGTTATAGCGACCAAAAAGGAGACATTCCAGGATAACAGCAGAAGGGAGCAGGAAGCCAGGAGCTCAAAGGGGGGCCCTGTGAGCCTGGAGAGCACAAGGTTCGGGTCCCAAGGAGGGACCGGGTCTCGGACATGCGGGTAAAGACACTCCAGACCTTTCAGAAACCGGGCTGTCATGGGATGGGCAAAGACCAACCTGCCTTGAAACGGAGGGTGGAAAGTCGAAATGGCCGCCAGGTGCACCTTGATCGAGGATAGCAACAGGTCCTGGAGCTTCAGGTGTAGTAAATAGTCCAGGACATCCTGCAGGTGGGCCTCTTCCAACCCAGATATGGCAATCCGTGGCTCAACACGTGAACTGATTCCATTTCAATACATAGGTAGCCCTAGTGGGGGACTTCCTGCTACTCAGCAAGACTTGCTGGACACTGGCAGAACACTGCAGAAACCACGCCGTCAGGTGCAGGACCACCATGTTCGGGTGTAGCAGATTGCCATGGTTGTGGGACAGTAGATCTGGCCGAAGAGGCAGCTGTAACAGGGTGGCTGCTGAAAGGCTCAGGAGCATGGCAAAGCAGTGCTGAGAGGTCATGCCGGGGCTATGAGGATGACTGAAGCTTTGTCTTGCTTCACCTTGAGCAGGACCTTGTGGATCAGCGGCACCGGCAGAAAGGCGTACATGAGTGCTCCCGACCATGGGATCAGGAAGACGTCTGACAGGAAGCCCTTGTCCCTGCCCGGCAGAGAACAGAACTGTGGCACTTCCTGTTCTGTCTGGACGTGAAAAGATGCAGCTGGGGCGTCCCCCACCGTCGGAAGATCAGGTTGACCACCTCCGAATTGAGCGGCCATTCATTGTGAGACAAGAAACTCCTGCTTAGGCGATCCGCCAGGATGTTCTTGGTACCGGGCAGGTGGGCGGCCACCAAGTGAACGTCCTGCTGCTCACAAAAGTCCCAAAGGCTGAGCGCTTCCTGAAAGAGGGCTGAAGACCTGGCGCCACTCTGCCTGTTCATGTAGTACATTGCGGCAGTATTGTCTGTCAGGACCTGCACCACCTTGCCTTCCAGGTGGGGCAGGAAAGTTTGGCATGCCAGGTGAACCGCTCTGAGTTCCCTGACATTGATATGAAGGGCTAGGTCGTGTTGCAGCCAACAGCCCCCCAGACCAGGTCTGACGCATCTGAGACCACGGTGAGCAAGTGTGACAGGGTTACGAAAGGGACTCCCCGCAGCGCCAACTTGGGATCCTGCCACCAGTTGAGCGGTGAGAGGACATGACTCAGCACCGTGACCACTCGATCCAGGGGGTGCCTGCTGGGATTGTAGATTGAGGCCAGCTACATTTGTAGGGGCCTCAGATGAAGCCAGGCATGGCTTACGACGTAGGTGCATGTGGCCCATCAGTTGCAGGCACGTGTGGGTCGTGGTGAGCGGTTGGCTCTGTATGTGGGTGATCAGGTTTGACATGGCTTGAAAACGCGCTTCTGGCAGGAATGCCCTGGCCCGCCTGGAGTCGAGAACTGCACAGATGAACTCTATGCGTTGAACCAGTGCTAATGTGGATTTTTCTGTGTTTATTAGGAGACCCAAGTCGCTGCAGATGGAGCGCACAAGATCGAGGCTCCTCTGGACCTCCTCTGAAGACCTGCGCTTGTTGAGCCGGTTGTCGAGATATGGGACGATCTGAACCCCTCGACACCTCAGGTAAGCCACCACCAACGCCATGCATTTCGTGAAGACCCTGAGGGCTGAGGACAGGCCAAAGCGCAGCGTCATAAACTGGAAGTGGCGCCCTGCCACTATAAAGGGCAGGAAACGTCTGTGCCCCGGGAAGATAGAGACATGAAAGTAAGCGTCTTTTAAGTCGAGAGCAGCGTACCAGACCCCCGGACCCAGAGAAGGAATGATGGAAGCCAGGGATACCATGTGGAACTTCAACAAAGACTTGTTAAGGCCCCGTAGGTCCAGATGGCTCTGAGCCTCCCATTTCCCTTTGGGATTAGGAAGTAGCGGGAGTAGAATCCTCTTCCTTGCATATCCCGAGGAAGCTCCTCCACAGCCCCCAGGCGTAGGAGGTTCTCAACCTCCTGAATAAGGAGCTTGTGTGTGTGTGTGTACGTGTGTACACGCAGAACATGGGGCGGCCAAAAATTGCAGGGTGTAGCCCCAAGCCACTATGTCCAGGACCCAACGGTCTGAGATAACCCGCAACCAGGCCGAGTGGTCAGAGAAAAGGCGGTCAAGGAAAGGGCAGGAAGGATCCGGGCAGTTGGCTAGTGCGTCGCTCCCAAGCACACTGGTGTTTTGCCAGACCAGGCTAAGCAGGAGATCGGGATTATGAAGGGCAGCGGCGGTTGAACCCAGTGTCCCTTTTCCTTCTAGGTCCCTGCTGAGGCTGCCACTGCCTAGGAGGTGGGGAGGCCGGAATGGCTGCCTAGACGACTGAGGCGTGTGCATCCCCAGGAGCGGAGGGTCGCCTTTGTGTCCTGTAAGTCATGCAGACGCGCATCTGTTTGATCAGAAAACAGGCTGACACCATCGAATGGAAGGTCCTGGAGCTGCGTGCATGATCACCGCTGAGGTGACCACTCGGGCAGCTGAATCGGCAGCATCCTAGGCCATCTGGAGAGAGGACCGAGCAGCCGCAGTCCCTTCCTCGACCAGGGTGGCGAATTCCTGGGCCGCTTCCTTGGACATGAACTTTAGGAGAGAGCCCCACAAGTTAAAATTGTAGCGGCCCAAGAGGGTATGGTGATTTGCCACCCGAAACTGGAGCCTAGCCATAGAAAAAAATCTTTCGGCCAAGTAAGTCCAGTCTTTTAGCCTCTTTATTCTTAGGGGTAGAACTGGAGTCGGAGGCGGGTCCTTTCTGGGGGAGGAACCCCCCCATGGCCGAACCCTTCAACGGGTCTGGAGTGGGCGTAAGGTGCGAACAGAGTCCCTTGCCCGGAGTGGGCGTAAGGTGCGAACAGAGTCCCTTGCCCGGTCTTGGCTGGTGCCGTCTTCTTAGGCTTCTTTTTTGGCACTGGTGACGGGGATCGGTGCTGGGAGGACCCCGGTGCCGGAGGTGTGCTACACACCGAAGTTGAAGCGCTAGATGCCAGTTCGGGCCACAGTGGCTCCGAAGCTGGACGCAGGGCACCCTGCATCTGGAGGGCCCTGAGGCAGATGTCGTTCTCCTTCTGAGTCTGTGGATGAAAGTACTGGCACATATGATAATGCTCCTTTATATGGGTTTCCCAGAGGCACTGTAAACAGCTCTTCTGTGGGTCACTAATAGGCATAGGCCTGTTACAGGATGAGCAGGGCTTGAAACATGGAGATCGGGGCATGCCCTCCGCGGGTGAAGTTCCCGCTTGGACACTATCTAACTAAACACTTAACGGGTACTTAACTACTAACTAACAATGCTTAAAACTATTTACAGAGAAGCACAAGGCTAAACAGATGAAGAAAAACCACTGACCACTTGCGAAGCAAGGGACAGAGGCACTCCGATTAACCACCATGGGCGGTAAGAAGGAACTGAGAAGGCGCAGGGCTGGCGGCACTCCAGAGGGCACCACAGCTGGCCCTACAGGTACCGCTAAGGCAAAAGTCTCCAACGGCTGCGCACACGGGTGCGCGCACACCTACCATGGAATGGACATTAGCAAGCACTCAAAGAAGAATATGTGGATTTGCATACACCCATCCCTGCTACTGAATTATGGTTATATGTCTAATTGAGTGCTGTTGTGATAAGTAATTTAAAAATGGAGCAAAATGTTAATGTTAGTGAAAAACTAACTAATGTTAATGTTAGTAAAACAAGAAAATGTACTCTGCATACAATATTGTTTTCAGGGACTGACATTTTATATTAGCTTAAAACTATTTTGTGGGATGTTAAAATGGAAGCACAAGGCATTTACTAAAAGTGGAATTTCAAAACTATCAGGTTTTCACAGCTAGCTTCTAAATCTGCATTCCCCAAGTTTTCTAAGCATAATCCTGCATTTGAGCATGCAGATAGGCAGGTGGACAGCTAACTATTCAGCCTGCATGCACACAAATGCCTACTGGCATAGGTAATTAACTATATGCACAAAAGATATGAAATTTGGGAATCTGGAATGAAATCAGAGCTATACGGTAGTCTAAAACAGTTTGTTCAGCAAGGTACGGATTTTTCTCCGAGAAGTCCAAAATTTATGAATTTTGCTGTTTAAGAAACCTTGCAAGCTCAATTTCAGAGCACAATGGCCTAAACTTAACATATTAAAATGTAGTGTTCAAAATTTCAAATCATAGATATGTGGAAATTAATAGTTGTTCTATCTTTGATTATCACAAACACATGCAGAAAACCAAAAGAAAAATACATGTCCTAAACACTGACCAAAGAAGAAAGGAGCAGAGATGGTGATAGGAGGAAAAGAAAAGTTTACAAACAGACTGGCTTTTTCTTTTTCAGCTTGTCTTTATCCTTTGCGTCTCGCTCCCGTTTGGCAAGTCGACGTTTAAATTCTTCTGGCATTTTCTCATAACAGTGTTTGCAGACAGGTTTTAGATCAATTTCAACAAACTTATCCCTTTAGATAAGACACAGAGGAAACAGTGGAAAGAACAGGAAAAGATTTAAGAATAAGTCATAGCTGAAAGAAGAATTGAACACAAAGCAAAAATAGATTTTAAAGTAGTATATGGAGCAACAGGAACGAATACCTATATCATTTACAAGAAGTTGTCTATAAAGGTTATATACCATTACAGTTAAACTATGACTATAACAGCTGTGCTTGAAAGGTGACTATTGATCTGTTCTGAAGAGATCACAACTGTTTTCCATCTTCTTAAACTATCTGATAAACTTACTTGAGAGTTAACTTAGTGTTGCAAGTGGAACAAGCGAAGCAGTTCACACACCATGCCTTATTCAGAGCAGAGACAACTAGGGGGAGGGGGAAAAAGACAATATTAGCAGTGTAATAAACAAAGGCATTTGTTAAAAACTTCTGAAATTTACACATTCATAAGACGTACAGGAAAAGGTGATTATTTTTAAACCTATTTTTCAATTAGGGATAAAATTAGGCTCCATAATAATGAAAATGAAGTGAGGGTAAGGAGACACACATACACATATACTGTAGGTAAGTGCTGTGTAGGAGGCATAGATGCCTCTAAATTACTTCAGTGTTTAAGCTGATGCTTAACATTTAGTTCTACTCTTTGTTTTGCGATAGCTCTGCTCTGGAAGAGCTCCATTTTGATCTTGAATCAAAGTTGCCTTTCTTTCCCCCTTTGTTTATGTCAATCTCTACTTCCTCTTCCTTTGTATCTCTTTCCATCCTGCTTTCTTTACATAGGGTTGCTGAGAATTAAGAAAGCATGCTTTATTAGGAAAAAACTAAACTAAACTCAGAGAAATGAAACATAGAGCCTTTGTTAGCAAGGAATGATTCATGGGAGGAGAAGTTCCTCTAACATTTGCAGATATGATAGAGATGAGTGAAATATTGTGAAGGAAGTCCTTCAAGTCCCGGGGCATTTGCCAGCAAACTGGTCAAGCACTGTTCTAACCAGTTTTGACAAAGGTGAATACCTAAAACTCAGTGATGTCAGATATGTAGGCCTGTTTATTGTAAGATATAAAAGAGGGAAGGGAATAGGTGGGACTACGTGCTAGTGCCTGCTTGTTTAGCTGAAGCCAGCCAATATGGGTTTGAGCATCCCGGGCCTAATCCTGTTGTAAGTATCCGATCAATACTTATGATTGATAGCTATTATACGGATACATGCTTAAAGTAACCATATAAAAGCCAATTTGGTCTTTGGATTAATAAAGAAATCTTTGGCTGAAATCTGGTGTTGGTCCATTTGAACATTCAAATAAAGATCCTAACACTTTCTACCTCTTCCCTTGCCAAAAAATGGTCTATTTCCTCTTCTTAGTTCAGGTCAACACGTGCAGCTCCACTATAAAAATGCACCCAAGGTTGCCTACTAGGATTGCCAACTGTTTAATCACACAAACCCCAACACCTTTGCCCCGCCCCTTTCTCGAGGCCCCTCCCCACTCACTCCATTCCCCCCCTCCCTCTTTCGCTTGCTCTCCCCCACCTCACTCACTTTCACTGGACTGGGGCAAGGGGTTGAGGTATGGACTCTGGGCTGGGGCAGAGGGGTTTGGCTAAGCCTGGGGCTGAGGTGTAGGAGGGGGTGCGGGCTCTGGGAGGGAGTTTGGGTGCAGGAGGGGGGTCAGGGCTGGGGTGCAGGAGGGGGTGAGGGGAGCAGGCTCTGGCCAGGCAGCACAGGGGGATAAGGCAGGCTCCCTGCCTGCCCTTGCCCTGTGCTGCTCCCAGAAGCAGCCGGCACGTCCCCTGCAGCCGTGGGGGAGGGAGGCAGAGAGCTCCAAGTGCTGCCCATGCCAGCAAATGCCACCCCCACAGCTCCCATTGGCCGCAGTTCTCAGCCAATGGGAGCTGCAGAGTCAGCGCTCGGGGAGGAGACAGCGCACAGAGACCCCAGGGCCCTCCCCCCTTAGGGGTCGCAGGAACATGATGGCCACTTTTAGGAGCGATGCAGGGCCAGGGCAGGCAGGGAGCCTGCCTTAGCCCCACTGCGCCGCTGGACTTTTAGCGCCAAAATCTCCCAGTTTGGCTGCAGTAGCCTCTGGGAGATAGCATCTAATTCCAGGAGACTCCCGGTGAAACCGGGAGGGTTGGCAACCCAACTGCCTACTATGAATGAAACTGACTATTGCCAGACAGCTGTAGTCATGTTCAATTATAGTAGCTGTCACCCTTGGTCAAGCACTTCTCTCCAACTTCTGGGTGCTAGTTGTCTAATAAGTGTCATTTTGGAGAAAGGTACTCTGCTGTTTGTCAGAACCATCCTAATCAGATAGATAATTGATGTATTGCTCCATAGATCAGGGGTTCTCGCAACAAATTTTTTGGTGGCCTCAGAGTGCGGCCACTAACTCTTGCTGGTGGCCGCACTGACACTTTTTCCTAAAATTATTTATTTTTCCTAAAGTTAATAAAGTAATATGCACATATATACATCCAAATCGTAATTTATTTATGTAAGGTTTTGGGTTTTTTTTGCAGACTCAATAATAAAAATCATGCACAGTTATCTCTATTCTTTACTGGACCTAACACAATAAAAACACAAATAATGTGCTTTGCACATTCTTGTCTTTTTTATTATTATTTCTTTTGCTTTTTTGGTAAAAGTGGCTGTCTGTATAACAATTCTGAAGTAAATTTAAAAATGCTTTGACATAATAGAAGTCCAAATAACAATGAAAAACACATCTGGGTGGCTTGGGTCTGGGGAGGGGAGGCACGGCTGTGGCTGGCCCGGGGCTCCTCCGGGCAGGTGGGGGTCTCGGGGCTTCAGCCAGCCAGGGGCTCCTCCAGGAAAGTGTGTGTGTGGGGTGGGGGGGGGAGGGGAGGGGAGGGAAGAAGGTCTTAGGGCCTCCCCTCCCACCCACCTCCTCACCCTGCTGCTGGCTCACCGCTCGCCTCCTCACTCCTCTGCCAGGTCCCCCCCGCCTGCTTGCCTCGCCACTCACCTTCTCACCCCCTCCTTGCTGCCACATCTTGCTCCTTATGCGTTGTGTCCCACCTGTGTCTCCAGAAAGGCAGTGCATGCAGGAGCAGCAGGGACAAAGGGGAGGGGCTGATGCTTCCTCCCACTGTCCAGGAAACTGCTGTGGCTGCAGGGAAACCCCCTGGTGGCAATGCCATAGATGATCCCTCTGAGGCAGACAACCATATAGATCCTGCTATCGTTAACTGGCTGCCTGACATGTTCACCCCCCCTCTCTCTCTTTGGTAGAATAATGCTGGACACACTCATTATTTGTGACTGCAATGTTTTGTTTGAATGTGTATGGAGGAATGAAAGAATACATTTAAAACAATGATTAAAAATTACATCGAGGGCAATAAAATGGCGTACTACAATTTGCTCAGTTTGGCGACCAGAACATACAGTATGAGGCAGCCAGATTACATGTACCTAGTTATCATACAAAGCTGAAGTTACCTGTTTCACTAGATTTTTATTTGGTTTTGGAGGATTTTAATGCAGGTGAGCAGAATATTTCCTTCAAGAAGACTCCTAAATTGTAGTTTTATAGGTAGAGTGTAGTCTTGAAACTATATGGAAAGCACATCATTTGAATCTAGAACTCATCCTTTAGTGTCATGATTATAATCCATGATGTCCTTTTGAAGTGTCTGGGCCTTATGTCACTTGATTACTGGTTTTGGTTTAGCTGGTGCTATTACTGGTACAGGGTATTGGTTCAGATAGGTGTTGTAAGGTAGGTATAATTTAATATGAGGCAACACAAAAGTTATCTGCTTTCTCTACCATCCTGTCCCACTTGGTTGTCAACAGCCACACTCCAGATTAATGGTCACCTGGATTGTCTTTATAGATGCATTGTTTTGCTGAATGCTAATCCTTTGGCAGTGTTTGTGACAGCCTCACTTCTACAGACTTAAAGCCAGATTTTTTTTTTAATAAGATATGTAGGTGCCTAGAGATGCAGATAGCAACCTAGTGGGATTTCAAAGCTCCTAGCTGCCTAATTTGCATTAAAATCATGGAAATTAGGTGTCTATGAGTTTTTAAAAATCCCACTAGGCACCTGCCTCTTTAGGCACCTAAATATCTTTAAAATCAGGCCCTTAGGCCCTAATTCTGTAATGAGGTGCATGCATGTGGATTATTGCACTTGCATTGAGGTCTATTAAAGTCAGTGGGGCTCCACACAGGTAAAGGAAGCTGCCTGTGTAAAACTCACTAAGGGATTGGGGCCTTGCCATTTTACACTCTTATTTCACTCACAGAAACTCTGAAGAATTTAGAAAAAGGCATTATGGGAATCAGCATTTCAAAAGGGATTCAACACCAGTCTTCCCTTTCCCTGGTGCCTCTTTTAGTAAGTGCTTCCTACTGAAGTGACATAAAAAAAAATGCAATTTAAGAAATGCTTACCATCTCCTTCAATCACACGATTACAGTGGAAACAAACGTCACCAAACAGCTGTGGTTAGGGGGAAAATACAAATTTTTAACTTTAAAAATTTATCGTGGAGAGAATTTTAGAAACAAAATAATTGCAGCTCAGCATATGGACATAGCAACTTTTCTAACAAACTCAGTAAGATTAAAGGAATGCATACTGTCAAATTACTTAATTCTTTTTTTTAAAGTCACCTTTCCATTCCCATTACAAATAAGACCCTTCATTATTAAAGATGAAAAATAATGTTTAATTTTTTTTCTCTACTAATTATGTTTTGTTTCCTTTTTGCATTTCTTTCATCTTGGAAAATTAAGCTAGACAGTTTCACTTTTGTATATCACTTGTTTCTAGTCAATCTGAACTTTCAGGTTCTAGAACAATGCCTTGCTGTTTCTGTTGCATAGTTTCAATTTTTATGTACACACCCATCCACCCTCCCATTCTACTTTTGGCCCAAATTTTACCTAACATCTGTAGTGCTTTGGCATTTATCATTTACAGCTGTACTATCAATATTTCAAACATCAAACCTTCAAAACTGAATATTCAGGAATCTGTAATTAATACATGCCATAGAACTATGGAGCTTATTACCCACTTTTTATGTGCCAAAAGGTGTGTGCATGTGATACTTTGCAGTTTGCTCATGTTTAAAATAGTTGCAACAAGTTTATTTTAACAGTTAACAGAATACACACACAAAAATCTTTTGTTTATTTATTCATCCAGATGTTTCAACTATACTCCTCACTGTGGTATCTGAAAAAAGAAGAACAGGAGGACTTGTGGCACCTTAGAGACTAACAAATTTATTAGAGCATAAGCTTTCGTGGACTACAGCCCACTTCTTCGGATGCATATG